TATATATATATAGAGAGAGAGAGAGAGAGAGAGAGAGAGAGAGAGAGAGGGGGGAGAGGAGAGAGATATAGATATATAGATATAGATATAGATGAGGAACATAGCATATTAATAAAAATAACATATTAAAGGAGAAAATCATTCTCAATTTTCACCTAAAATCATCAAAAAGAAATTGGATGAATTAGAATGTTTCAATTATCATTAGATTTAAAAAGATCCAGATACGACATCTATTACTTAGTTACTGTTTATGTCAGCAGCTTCTATGCAGTTAGTGTAAGGCCCTAAAAGGTGTTCGGCTGCGGCCCCCCTGTAAGTGCAGAAAGCCATCCTAGCACAGATCAAAAGAATCAACATGTGTCTCCAACATTTCCGCCAGGCATGTCAAAATCAGCATTTCCCCAGCCATTTTTTACATCCCAAAACACAAACAGACTCGCACACAGCCTGAGCTCCCACACACAGCTTTTAAAGACCTCATTAAGAGAGAGCAAATTGTTTCCTCCCCTCTTCCTAAAAAAGCGCTTTCTTAAATGGCTTTTTAAAAATTCAGTTGTAAAACACCTTAGCAGATTAACTTAAATGAAAATCTTCATGTGCGGAGAACCATTGGAGGGTCAGTATGACCATATATCAAAGGTTGTTATTCTATCATTTGACTATCATGAAGAATAATAACAAAAGACTATGAATTATTTTTTTCTCTCATTTGGAAGTTATTAGTAGATTTCCCTTTGTTCCACTGAGAAATGAGAGAAGAAAATATGAAGTTACAGCGAACCCATATGGCCAGCAGGAAAATCCTGTTTAATTGCTTTATTGCCAGAAATGTTAAATCACTTCCTGAGGATACAGTTCAAATGAAACATGTGGCAGCTATTAACAAAAGCCCCTAATGAATTCCAAAATATGCCTTTTATGGGAGCTTTCTCATAAGCAGCAGGCATACATGTTATTTAAACTGTACATACAAATATGCATTTGGTATTTTAATTCCACAAATGTTTGATGAACACTTACTCTGTACCAGATCTCTAGCCAGCCTGCATGGAATGTTTCTTTCTAAGCAACAGACATAACACTAAGGAATCTCAGGACATGGACCCCAAACCTAACCATTTCTCTTCTCAGATGTCAAAGGGGGGGAAAAAAAACTTTGACCAACGACTCCTTCCTGAAGGTTTGAGGCCCAAGAAAACTATTTCATTTTCACTTGGGTAGTTCTAATTATCTACTATATCCCTTTTCCTGTTAACAGCCCATCAGTGGCGGTGTTAATTATTGTCATTTAGCATCCACTGCATGGATCTATTCTTTATCTTTTCACACATCTTCTTTAATTGGGTATGAATTCCACAAAGAAGAAAACTTCTTTACTAAAGGTTGTTGTAGATAGAATAATGGGAGGCATCTAATATGAATCTACAAATAGCTTTAATTAATTGAGAACCAAGTGTCAGTATTTTTTTTATATTTAATTCCTTTCGTCCCTGGGAAATCTCACAAATTCAATCAATTATTTATAAACCATATTCTTAAGAGACAGTTCTACCTCAAATTCAAAGATAATTCAGCTGAGGGACATCCAGCTCATATTAATATGTGGTTTTACTTAAAAGAGAAGTTATCAAATTCTAGGTTACATTAAACTTTGATGTTCCTTGCTCTATCTCATAATATGGAAGTGAGCCTTGGGAGCTTAAAGAATCATGCAGAACGTGGTGCGATTTAAAATAATTGACATTGGCTCCCTGAAGCATGAGCACAGGCTGTATGGAGTCTAAAATATTTTTGCTTCATGGTGCAGCTCATCAACATTTTATTAAATATTTACTTATATGTGCTCGGTTGCATACTTTGTAATCAAATGGAATAAAATAAGGAAGGCCTGTCACCGGTCAAGTTGTAATGTGGAGCAAGACACTCAATTTGCCTTATGGCCTTAGCTGTAAGAAGAGAGAGCTTACTTAGATTTTGTAACTGTCTATCACAGTTATGCCTGCACAGATATTTTGTGATCTAAGCTAGTATCTTTTTTAAAAATATATTTTATTGATTTTTTACAGAGAAGAAGGAAGAGAGATAGAGAGTTAGAAACATCGATGAGAGAGAAACATCAATCAGCCGCCTCCTGCACATCTCCTACTGGGGATGTGCCCGCAACCCAGGTACATGCCCTTGACCGGAATCGAACCTGGGACCTTTCAGTCCGCAGGCCGACGCTCTATCCACTGAGCCAAACCGGTTTTGGCTAAGCTAGTATCTTATCATGGGATCTCTTCAAACCTTTCTGCTCTTTAGTGTTTTGAAAATAGTGTCAGTGACCACAGAGGTCAGCGTGCCAGTGGTTGGGCCCTGTCTCCCAGGACCGACTGTGACCTCACACAAGTTGCTTTGCTCTCCAGGACTTCATGGGATTGTTCTAAGGACTGAGTGAGGTTATGGAGTAAAGGCTCAAAACTTTGCCTGGCACATACTAAGAATGTAGTAATAAGTATTAGTTAGCTATTTATATACTAAGGAACTTTCTCATTAAACATCCTTTAATTATCTATCACCAACCTTGACAAGCTTGACAATGAAAAGGTTCCTGTTTTGTTTTGTTTTGTTGTTTATTTTCTTTTCACACAAAAATAAGTCAATTTAAAAGCTGTGATCTCTAGCCCAGCTGATATGGCTCAGTGGTTGAACCACCTATGAACCAGGAGATCACGGTTCAATTCCCAGCCAGGGCACATGTCCAGGTTGCAGGCTCATTCCCCAGTGTGGGGTGTGCAGGAGGCAACCAATCAAAGATTCTGTCTCATCATTGAGGTTTCTATCTCTCTCTCTCTCTCCCTTCCTCTCTGAAATCAATAAAAATAAAACATTAAGAAAATTCAATATATATATAACATAGGATGGATTTAATGTCATTTTTAAATCCTTTCCAAAAAGACACAGAAACAAAACACATCACCAAAACTGTAGGGAAACTTTGCTGTAAAGTTTCTCTCTCTCTCTCTCTCTCTCTCTCTCTCTCTCTCTCTCTCTCACACACACACACACACACACACACACACACACACACACACAACAAAATTAGTTACCCATGTGTCTATTTTTCTTACTCCAACTGTAAGGACTTTGTTCCTTGAAGAAGAGGAGAAACATCACTTGTGGATGTCTTGTGTGATCAATGGCTGTAGGGTAGAAGGCATCCAATCCCAGTAGGTCAGACAGATTTATAAAAGGTTTCCAGTACAAATTAGTATCCTCATGCTAACTGTATTTTATACATGAATAACTGAGGTGAATGGGAACCAGAAGTCCAGCTTCCTAAAATATTTTTAGAGTCTCCACAAACAGTAGAACTAGACATTTATACTATAAAGTCTTTTGTAAGCATCTCATTCTAAACTCTATTTTTAAAATAATGATAGTGATAGAAAATACGCTGGAAACTAAACTTCTAGACCTCTCATGTCAGAGAGGCTTAGGCCCATTGGCCCAAAGCCCATAGTAACAAACAGAGCAGCTGCCTTTTCCTCAGGATCTCGTATGCTTTCTGGAAGCTACCACAGTCCTCTCGGCAACCTGGTGAACTAGGAGTGATTCCCTGTTTCATAGGGGAAGGTTCTGGGCAGTGAAGAAAAGGACAGAGATTTGAAATGGAAGAGACCGAGTAAGCAATTTGGACTCCCAAAGTAGAACAAAACAAATGAACTCCAACGATTCTACCCAAATTCAAAGAGTGTTTTAGTCTCATTTATCACCAGTGTCTTTAAGGGCAACATGAATTTGTCTTCAGAGAAGAAAACAGTTACATGATGATTTAAAATTATTATAGATGGATCTAGTAACTTTGCTGACAGTTCCACAACTCCCATTTTTCTTTCTCTTTTTAGCTTTATTGAGGTATAATCTATATTAATAAAAGCATAATATGCAAATCGACCGAATGGCCAAATAGTGGAACAACCGTCCAGAGGACCATGCTATGACACCCACTGGCGCCAGGCCAGCCAAGGCGGGTGCAATGTGATTGGTTGGGGGCCCCACCATTGCCCCATGATTGCCCCACAGAGGGAGAACCAGGCCACCGGCCAGAGGGGCAATCAATCAGGGGGCTTCACGATTGCCCCAAAGAGGGAGGCCCAGGCAACCCAACAGCAGCACTGCAGCAGGTGGGCGGGGCCTCCCTCTGTTGGGGGGGCAATCCATCGCAGAGCCCCAACCAGGTGGGCAGGGCCTACCTTTTTGGGGCAATCAATCACGGGGCTCCCAGACTGTGAGAGGGCACAGGCTGGGCTGAGGGACTCCCCCACCCCCCGGTGTATGAATTTCATGCACTGGGCCTCTAGTTGACAAATAAAATTGTAAGCTATTTCAAGTACACCTTGTGGTGATTTGATATATGTACACGCTGTGAAAGAATTGTTTACATCTAATTAATATCCATTACCTCAGATATTTGCCCTTTTTTGATGAGAACATTTAAGTTTCACTCTCTTACCAAATATCAATTATATATTACAATATTATGAACTATAGTCACCATGGTTTACCTTACATCCTCAGAATTTATTCATCTTACAGCCAATAGTTTGTACCCTTTTAACAACCTCTCCTTATTTCTCCCCCACCCCCCAACCCTTCCAACCTCCCACCCTATCTCCACCACAGTCCCTGGTAACCACTTATGTACTCTGATTCACTTAGCATAATGCCCTCGAGGTCTATGTTATTGCAAATGGCAGGAATATTATCTTTCTCACGCCTAGATAATATTCCATTATATATCACATCCATATCTTGGATATTGTGAATAATGCTGCAATGAACAGAGGAGTACAGATGTCTCTTTGATTTCCTCTTTTTATTTCCTTTTAATATATACCCAGAAGTGGGATTGCTGGCTCATATAGCTTTCTGATTTTTAAAAATTTTGTAATAATATTATTTGATGGTTCTTTCTAATAATGCCACAATTTTGTAACTTTGGTTTTCTTTTTCAGGCTATCCCAGGTATTTCAGAGAAGGAAATGGCTGGTAAGTGGAAATATGGTTTATTTTTCTTTCTATCTATTTTAGAATGAAAATGCATCTTCATGTAGACATTTCATTAAAGGTGTGTTGATCTCATCAATCTTTGCACAAATATTACTGTTGAATTACTGAAAAATAAATTGTGTTGTTCAAAATGTAAAAAAATGTGGTTTTCTAATATAGCATTTCATCATACTAGAATGAGATGTGTGCTTCTTGTAGCCCTACTAGTGTTTGTGGAATGAATGAATAGCAACCACAACTTTTTTCTTGAGGGAAAGAATGAGATATTGTTTACTGTGCTAGAGAATGGTCTTTGGAAATTGGTTGTTAATAATTATCAATATTTATTTTTTAATCTTAAGTAGCTTATTTAGTAGTCAAAGGAAAAGATGTACTTATTTAAAGCAGATGTTATACCATCAAAATTATAATTCTAAAGCAATAGGAATAATATTGGAAATAATTATAATATTTTCTGTGCTTTGTGCTATCATTATAACTATTTAACAGTATTGTGGAAAATGGAAAAGGTCTGATGAAAAACATAGAATACGAAAAATTAGAGTTGAATTGGTGGGATTATGTGTTTTTAAAAAAAAATCTGTGGATCTTCCTCAATATTGTCTTATGTTTCCTGTGTAATAACAATAGGTTTTTATAATACAGATTAAAAGTGTGCTCCCAAATGTGAAGCACATCACTTAGTTCTTAGACACTTGTGATTTTTAAGAGCCATATTGGAAGTTTATAGTATTATCCAAAAAATGGCATGACTTCAGGAGACTTTATAATGAAGCTTTGGAGTTTGTCTGATGCGATTTTTATGCAAGGGATGTTCCCTTTCTAGTTCGTGATCTTATGTTTGCGGCTTGATAGTTTTCACGCAAAAGTTTTTATGGTTTGTCTCCTTCCGTGGCTTAAGTTTTCTCTTATGTTAGACTCGTCCTGATTTCTTCATGCTAATATGTTGAAAGGTAACCCTTTGGAATGGAAGGAAAATACTGAACTGGTGTCAGTTAAGAAGGAAGCTGTTTAATTTAACAATGCAGTGGTATTACATGGATGAGTAGCAAATATTGAACAAATTTAAATTACAGTTCCAGGGCTCTACTATCTTAAATAGATTGTGTTAGCTATCTAGTAAGAACAAAGAAATAAATGGTGAAGTGGTCATTTGCATCAAAAGGAAACGGAATTCACCTAAAGTCTCGCTTTATCTTTGGTTGTGACATTCTCTGTGATTCCCAAGATTAGCTGCAATTTAAGCAGAGTGTAAAACAGGACAAAGTTGTCATCTTGTTCCAGAACATCAGCAAATTCTCTCAGACCTCAAGGAGGAAATTAGAATGTAAATTCTGGGCTGGTGGGGAAGGGTAAAAAGGGATGGACATGTCATTGCTTGAAGGGATGGAAAGCCAGAGTTCTCTTCTCCCAGGCCACTTAAATGCCTTCAGATTGATAGGGAGAGCCCCTCTTTTAATCAAGCTTCTCAACTATGTTAAAGATATTTTTGTTACAACCAGGAACTAATTAAACAGAGAGTACAAATATGATGCAACCACCACTTTCTATCACAATCCTGGAAGTTTTCCTCCTCGAGAACAACAAAAACAAAGTTAACTGTCATTCTTTATTGAATATCTCTTTCGGTCATTTCTATACTGCTGGGCAACAAACGCCAAGTGTTAATGAAGGCCAGTCACAGAGTTGCCACAAGATGATCTGTGAACCGCAGACCCACCAATTAACATGTATGATCTTCCCAGGCCCCAGTCACCTGGAGGCCCCATCTCGGATACTTAACCCAGGATGGGATGATTTGAGAAGAACCCTCCTTTTACATATTAAAACATTAGAATGATTAGGATTTACTCTAGAAAAGATTTTTTTTATTTCTTGAGAATGTGCTGATTTGCTTAGGAAGAAATATAGTTTAGTTTGATAATATAAATGCAAGAAAGGAATGATATTTTTTTAAAATATCAGAGAATTTGTGTCAAAATAAAGGCTTATGTTTGGATATTTAATTAATAATGGAAACAGATTTGACAGTTCAAAAGAGAATATGATTTACTCCAAAAGTTTTTAAGGACCGTAACAGTCAAAGCAATCTCATTCTTGTATTCCTAAACTCTATTATGCCCTATTTAAAATATTAAAAACATTTGAGTGTTATAGACAAATGCGAATCTCTTTATTCCTATCTTTATGAATCTCTATTCTTAAGCTCTGCTAGACAGAGGAATGAGGATGAAAGCAGAGGACCCACTCCATCTTCTGGGGGTTAATTGAGCTCTTAAATAGGATTAAGCTTCCTACCCGCCCCTCAGGCCTGCCATTTTTTTCTGTCTTGCTGAGTGAATGTAGACTATTGTTCCTTCTTGAGAGAGCCTATTTTTAATCTGTGTGACCTCTCCTCCAAGCCAACTGGAACCAACTCCACCAGGCTTTGCGAAGCTCTAAACGAAATCATTCTGGTTACATTCCGTTCATAACTCTTGAATTGCAGTTATATGATTGCCCCTGTGTGGACACCTTCTATTCTGGTCCATGTTCCTAGGTAAAGGAAGCCTAGTGGAATCAATGGTGCTACTGTCTCCCACCTTATGATGGCAAAATACTCCAAGGGGAAACAACTTCGAAACAGCCTCCCATTCGTTCATTCATTCCACAAACACTTACTGAACTACAACATGTACTGGGCATCGTATTAGGTTCCCTCAAGAAAGCAATTATGACTAAGGCATGGTCCTTGCCCTGAAGGAATTCAAACTCTAATTGATAATATTCTATTAGGCTAGCATCCTCCTTTTCCTCTTCCCAGTGAGCCTTCCTTAACCCAGCTGATGCAGAAAGCTTCCCAGGAAAAGAAGGAAATAAAAAATATTGTTTTCCACAAACTGTCACAATGTGCATTCTCGGGATCTGAAATAGAATACAATTCATTTGTTTTTTTTTAAAAAAAAATCAGAATTAATCACACAAGTATCAATACATCCAACACATAATGTTTTCAAATAACTTCTGTTACGCAACGAGGGTCTGTGTGCCCTTGACGAGTAGGCCCAATGTCATTGGTATATTTGCCAGCACATCTGCTTTCTATCTGTGTGGCCTTGAGCAAGTTACTTAACCTCCTCATTTCCTCATTTCTTGAGTATAAACAGAGACGCTGTCACGCTGTTGTAAGGCAACAATGCTTGGCACAAACAGGTCCTACAAAATGGTAGCTGCGTTTTATGATCATTAGCTGAGCTGATAACCATCGTGTGGACAAGCCAAATGGAAGCTAGCTGCGTGGCTGCTCCACGCCAGGTGTTCGTGAGCACTTCCTCGGGGCACCGGCTAAGAGCTGAGCAGCCCTCAGTGTGAAAGAAAGAGATCGCCTTCTCCATCAACTTCTACGGGAGTTTATCCAGATGGAGGTTCTCATAGGAGAGACAGATTGGTCCTATTTGCCCTCTCCTGGGGAAGGCCTGTTAGGCTGAAATTCTCTCTGGTGAACAGATCATCTTTGACTGTCACCAGGATTCGTCCCTGAGAAATGCCTCGCCTGTGTCCCCTTCTCCTATGGCTCCCTGCATCCCAGCCCCCGAGGGAACCGGACCCCTCACCTCCTGCACAGGGTCCTGTCAGCACTGCCTGCTCATCAGCCCTTGTCCAGTCTCCCTGCCTCTGCTGGAACGCAGCCTCCACTTCCCACTTCACAGCAGTGTCCAGGCAGGTTTCCCTGCCTTTCCTATCACTGCATCAGTCCGTTCCCTACACTTTCATCTGTTGTCTTTGCAAATCACGACCTGATCATCTGAATTCCTGCTTCAACATGTTCTTTCTCTCCCTACAGGATAAGGACCAACTTTCCTGCTTGATATGTGTAATCTGGATGCAGTGTCATGTACTGCACTGGATCTGTCCATGTTGCCCCTCAGACGCACCTCGCCCCACCCTGCTTTCCCTGCTCTGTGCCCTGGAGGCTGAGGTCCACAAAGTCAATGGGCTGCCCCCCACCATATACCTCCCCCATCCCACCAGTGAGGAGCCAGGGCAGGAGATGCAGGTGGGGGGCCAGTGTGGCCTCCTGGCTTCTCTTAGGTGGCCCTTTCCACACCCGCTTCCAGGTGCTGACAACCATTCTCTCCTCTTGCCCTGGTGGTTTCCCTGCAGCTTTATAAATAGTTCTGACTAAGCTTCCCTCAGTTTACCCAATGTGGCATCTGTTTTCTGCCACAAGTCTCACTGGTATACCTACAATATCTTCTCTTCTTTCTGTTTCTTTGTGTATGTTTATTCGTTTCTTTGTTTACCCCAGCCACCACATCCAGCCAGAAAACCTCTCCTAAGTCTATATTTTTCTGCTCTTTGTAAATCACATAACTGTCTTTTTAAAAAATATAGATGATAGGTAGTATAGAGAGGGAGAGATGGCTTAGTCAGAAAAAAAAAAGATATGGACTGTGTTTGCCCTGAATTCATCCTAAGTGGACTCAGTTTCATTTCATTCAGTCACATGGGAGAGAAAAATATCCACCCTTATGATTTAGAATGTGTTCTCTATTGCACAGAAGCATGTAACTTAGAGAATTCACATTGCATATTAGCCACAAAAACATGACTCTGGGAATATTTGAAAAGTAAGAACATGGAGTAATATGAAATCTCTTGTTCTAAAATTAAGTCACATGGAAAACAGACAGGTATTGTTAGCCAAAAATGGCAAATATGTTCACTTCTCTATCTTGAAAATTCTACTTGTTTTATTAGATCTAACCATACCTCCACCTTAATGAATTACTTCCTGAACAGTTTAGTCATTGATTATTCTGTGCTCCTAGAACTCTTTATGTGTTTTCTATTTCAGTCTTACTATCTTGCTTCACTGTGTGCCCTCTTGTCCAGACCATGAGCTTTTCTAGGTCAGGATTATCGTCTTTGTGTGGCCCGTAAGTAAAACAGCTATTAGCACATAGTAGGTGTTCCATAAATACATGGTAATGAATAAA